TCTGAACTTGCTACACCCTTGTACGTAATTTTACAGATATCCAGTCTTGCTCTCAGATTCAAATCCCACGTGGAAAGCTGGATGGCAGCATGGGTGACCTGAAGGATGTCCTAAGACTGCCTATCCACCAAGTGCCTCCACACACGGCTACTTCCTGATGAAGTTTTTACTTGAAAATCACTCTCCATTTTAAACACTGACTCCAGAATTGTCTTACACTAAAGTGCTTTTGAGAGAAAATAGAGATAAAACACTTGTGTATGGTCCCTTGACCGTGTCAGGAGACTCTAGTTGAGCACAAGCCAAGAGCACAAGCCCCTGGACACTACTGGGTGGGGCCCTCCAAAGTAACAAATGAATAAAATAAAATCTGAAATACTTAGGGCCAGCTATTCATCAGATTATTTGAGTCATCTTAAAGAGGAATGCTAATGCCAGGGCTTTGCATTTTGTCTGGAGAGCTCAGTACTCAAAGGGTTCTCCAAAAGATTGACGGTTTAACATAGACGTCATCTATATCTGGAAAAGTCTTGAGAAAAGGATGACAAAACATTCCTTTTAAATGGTTCTAAGTATCTGGTGGTATTTAACAGAATGCACAGAGAGAAAGCATTTTCCTTAAAAGGTAAGGAAGTATAGAATAAGAATAGGAGATTCTATTTCGAATATCCACTCACTTACATAGTATTTGAGGGTATTTTGTACAAGGTCCTGTGCTCCTATGCTGATACCCTGGGGAGAGATAAGGCCTCCATCTCACATAGTTTGCCATATGGCAAAAGAGCTAGACATATAAATGATTATCTAACTATAATTGTTAACATCACAAGAAACATAAAGTGTACAGCTAGGGCCTCAGTGAAGGCCTTTCTGAAGAAGGCTTATGCTGATTTTGAAAACAGTAGTCCTTGACTAAATTAAAATATAAAGGCTTGGGAAGTAAAGGTAAAAACTAAATAGGCACAAAAGTCTTGATGTAAAAATAGCTTGTTGTAAACTTAAAACCTTGTGTAGCCGGATGGAGTCTAAAGAGCAAGGAGACTATGGAGTACTGCGTAGCTGTTAGAAAAGATGAAGTTATGAAATTTACATTACAAGTGGTACTACATGGAAAGTATCATGCTAAGCGAAATGAGTCAGAAAGAGAGGGACAGACATAGAAAGATTGCATTCCTCTGGGGAACATAGAGTGGCAAAATAGGAGACTAACACCCAAGAATGGCTGAGATAAGTACCAGGAGGTTTACTCCATGGCTTGGAGGCCAGCCGCACCTGCTAGGGGGAAAAGGCAGCTCAGATAGAGAAGGGAGCACCAAATAAAGGGTGTTGGGAGAATCCTCCCAGGATGGGACATGCATGCTGAAAGTAGACTTATAGAGCGAACATGATTGCCACTCAATACCTCTTTTGCAAACCACAACACCCGAAAGGAGACAGAGAACAAAAGGGAATGCCCTGCCATAGAGGTGGGGGGGGGGGGGGGAGGATAGGATGGGGAGTGGGAGGGCTACTGGGATCACTGGTGGTGGAGAATGGGCACTGGTGGAGGGATGGGTACTCGATCATTGTATAACTGAAACCCAAGCACGAAAGTTTGTAAGTCTACAACTGTACCTCATGGTGTTTCACTCAATAAAAAAAAAGACTGAAAAAAAAAAAAAAGAGCAAGGAAAGCACAAGAATCAGATGATGCTAACGATGCAGGAAGCTCTGCCTGACCATGTCTTGAATGTCTTGGTTAGAATTTATCGTCCAGAACAATTGGAAAACCATTAAAACCTGATATGGATTTTAGAAAAAGATACCAAGATGGTAATTTCCACTATGTAAGTAAAATTAAAGGTACAACTAAATTTAATGATTATCTCAATTTTATGGTCAGTGGGATATTAGATCCTTTGATTCCTTTTAGTATGCAATATATTGAATGTGCATCTCTTATGCTTTACTTGCATGAAAAATCTACTTCCTAATTTTTCTCCGAGAATTCTCTGCTGATTAAAAACATTTTTATCTCCAGAATCAAACTTTGTCTGTTACAAGCAACAATTCAAGATTCACAGACTAAAGTGCAGATATTCTCTTGAAGAACAGAGATCTAAACTGGCTCTTTATGAAATTGCTTTTTAACTAGAAATTGTTAAATGTGAATTTAAAAAGTTAAAGGTTAATTCTTAATATCAAACCGTTAGGCTATAAAGTTGGTAGTTACCATAGACCATTAAAGTAAAACACTTGATATCTAGATTTTAATACTCGTTTTCTTCTTTTTCATTTAAGCTGCTGAAGATTCAGGAAGTGGTGCTGCTGACAAAAAGTCCAAAACATGTCTAATGTTATGATAAACTAAGCCATTAGTCTGAATTTTGAGTGTCATTTCCATTTTTGAAGAAAAGCAAAACATTCAAATGAACTTCAGCAAGGAACATTCAGCAAAGCACCACATAGAGTATGAGGACCTTTAGAAAAGCTGTCCCTGAGACTATCAAGAGAAAATACAGTGTTAGCCTGAAAACCTGAAGGGAAAAACAAAGTTGAATAAAAGTACAAACAAGACAGAAATAGTTGTATTTTTTTTTGGGGGGGGGAGAATCAGAATGTTTTAAATATATATAATCTTGAAATGTCACCAATGCTTTAAAAGTTTTTATTGGTTGCATTCATTTGCAAAAGTTAACAACAAAATACCAGACTAGATAGTTTAAAGAACTCAGATTTTTTTCTTAGCACTGTGGTGCCTTGAAGACCAAGGTAAAGGTGCTGGCACATTGGTTTTATAAGGCCTTGTTCTGAGGTTTGTCAGGCCACCTCCCTCTGTACATGTACTATGTGTGTATCAGTGTCCTTACTTTTATTAATGACACCATTCATATGAATCTAGCCGAGCTACATGGTCCATCGCCAGAGTCACATACTAAGAAGATCTGGGAGCTAGAATTTTAACATATGGATTTGAGAAGTGACAAAATTTAGCTCATGAGACTTACTGTTTATACCGTAAGCCCTTTCTTGAACTAAGATCTCTCAATGTGTCAGTGTGAGATTATATACAGTGTAGAATGTATGGAAACAGGGGATATGTAGACAGCACTGTCAAAGGATACAATACTTTATTCCACCTGCGATACTTACCTCTGTGGGGCCAGAGACAGTGCTGGGGGCCAGGTGCTGGCTGCTGTGCATGTGGCAGTCCCTCCAGGGTCAACCCCAGCTCAATCCCTGATATGCCATATGACTTCCCAAGCACCACTAGGAGTGACCCCCTGAACAGTGAGCTCGGGGTAAATCCTGAGCACAGCCGAGTGTGGTCTAGAAACCAAAACCAAACAAAAACTGTTTTGTTTTTGCTTTTTGGTTGCACCCGGCAATTCACAGAGATCACTCTTGGCTCATGCACTCAGGAATTACTCCTGGTGGTGCTCAAGGGACCATATGTGATGCTGGGAATCGTCGAACCTAGCCCCCCCCAAATGTTTTAGTTACATAAATTCTATTACTAAAATCAGTTCTACTGGGCATGGGATTAGTAATTGACTAATTGCTAGTAATACTTTTTGCTACAATATTAAGATTCCACTTTATATAAGATGAAAAAGATATAATTTAATAAATCAGGGGACTTCCAATGTTGACTTAAACTTTATATGCTGTTTTCTGATAGTTCACAATTGACTGCATTTTGCTTCCCAGAGATGTACTTTGTGCAATGGGTAGCACTCACTCTACCTCATAAATAGAAACCTGATAAATATGTGAGCAAAGGAGTAACTTCTATTTAATAAGGGTTCATCTCTGGACACTAGATATTTTAAAGTAAGAAACAGCTGGGGAGGTATTTCAATGCATGCTTTACACACAGGAGCTCCAGGGCTGATCCCCAGCAACGCATGGTCTTTTGGAGCACCGAGCCAGGAGTAGCTTCTGAAAACAAACCCCCCGAAACAAACAAAAAATAAACTAAACGCCAATAATTCAGCCACTTATTTTGCCGCTAAATGCCAATCATTCACATTCAAATGACATTTAAAATAGTTTTCTTGAACAAAAATAATTGGAATATATGATCATTTTCCTCAAAAAACACATAGCTGGCTCGAAGGGCTGAAGCACATGCTTTCCATGCAGAAGCCCTGGGCTTGCTTTTTAGTCTTGGAACATGGTTCCAAGCATCACTGGAGGAGACCATGAGCATGGAGTGACCCCCAAGGATGGACAGGCATGACACAAACACAAATCAAAACCCCCCAAAACCAAAGCACATAAACATGGAAATTTGTCCATATATTTTAGGAATGCTTTCTCTCTTGATCTTTAGACCTATGGGAATATGAATCCTAAAGTCAAAATTATATAATTGCTTCCATATACAAGCAAATTTGTATTTGTATGACTCCATCTCTAGAGATAAGTACTCATGTGTATATTATTATCTGGTTAAATGATCTCAACTGAAAAGTCTCTGTTGGAAAGTCAACTTTGATGAACATGTTCACTATTTTAGATGACTGGGACTTCACTGGGTCTCCTGTGATATTAATTTATCTTATAGTTAATTACCTTCAGACTTGGAAGTCAAATTTAATTAAAACAACTCCCTTAAATGGTTCAAGTATGAACGAAGCAAGAGAAAACCACAAAAGGCAGCTAGAAAGAGCTGATAATGGGGAAACAGGTGCCCAAAAGGGGTATGACCAATATAACAAAGGGAAGAGAAGCAAAAAGAGTGATGACATTCTTACTTTGCCTATCTTTTGAGATCTCCCAAATCCTAGTAACTGAGGCAAGATAAAATAACCATGAATCAAAGGGGGGAAAAAGTCCTACAAAATTTAGGAGCAATTGGGGGCTGAACAATAGTACAACTGGGAGGGTGTTTCCCTTGCATGCGGCTGGCCTGGGTGTGATCCCCAGCCCCCAGATGGTCGTCTGAGCTCTCCAGGAGGGATCCCTGAATGCAGAGCCAGAGATTCAAAGCATTCAAAGCATCTGACATCTTGGAGTAACTCGGTTTTTATTTTAAAAACAAACCACTCAAATGCAACTTGTAGATGAAAATACTTGTAAAGCATTTCAAAATGAACTTTCACATCAAGGAATGTAGTTTCTTTCTCCATCTCAAAGAAATAAATCTTGAAAATAGTCATCAAATTCTTCTTCCCTATTAAAAAAAAAGTATAGTAATTAAAACCAACAACCGGTGACACATTATATAATAAATAATATATTATATATTATTAATATATTAATATTATATATTAATATATAAATAATATATTATATATTAATGAAGATGGTAAAGGCCCTCCCGTTGATCGTCGATTTGCTCGAGCGGGCCCAGTAACGTCTCCATTGGAGACTTTGTTGTTACTGTGTCTGGCATATCGAATACTCTCGGTAGCTTGCCGGGCTCTCCGAGAGGGGCGGAGGAATCGAACTCGGGTCGGCCATGTTGGCTGCGTGCAAGGCAGTCGCCCTACCCGCTATGCTATAGCACAGCGGGTAGGGCGTTTGCCTTACAAGTGGCCAACATGGCCGACCTGAGTTCGATTCCTCTGCCCCTCTCGGAGAGCCCGGCAAGCTACCGAGAGTATTCGATATGCCAGACACAGTAACAACAAAGTCTCCAATGGAGACGTTACTGGGCCCGCTCGAGCAAATCGACGATCAACGGGAGGGCCTTTACCTTACCTTACCTTATATATTAATAATATATTATATAATATAATAAATAATAAATAGGCGACACATTATATAATAAAAGATTTTAATTCAACATAGTTGCTCTCTTCCATCTATCAATATATCTGATGATTCATTCATTGAATAAATCTTAGTATCTTATGTATTTATTTTCTAAGAGTTGCACTAAAAATACTTTGGATTCCATCACTGCTTCTCCATTCTGTTTTGGTTGACCTCTTCTCTAGCATAATAGCAATGTGCAGCAGACTTTTAAAGTAAATCAGGAAGAGTTTAAATATATGAAATTAGTTGAGTTTTTAAAGTAGATTTAGATGTTCTGTAGATGATCAGTATCAAGTTTTTGCAAGGTGACAAAGAATTTGGGTATGAAAGATTGTAGAGCCCCTCCACATTCACTAATGATGCCTGGAGCTTGTACACAACTGTACCATGCACTGGGAATTAAGTTCTTGTCCTCACAGCTTGCCCTGCACACTGTGCACCACTGAGTCAACTTAAATTTCTGGGCCCTTTCTCGCACAAGATGCTAAACAGCAGAGATTCCAGGATTGCTTCTCCAAGTGTGGGAGGGTCACGCCGGGATTTGAACTCATGACTTGTACTTGCCAGGCAACTGCTGTAAACCACTAAGCTACCTTTTGGGCCTTGCTTTCTTAGATTTTACTCAGTATCTTTATTGATAAAAAGACGTACTGACTCTAAAATATATCCTCTCATTTTCAGCTAAGAGCTGTTCAAGGGAAAGTTTTTATAGTTGAAAGCTTAACTAAGAATGTAAGTAGGATAGAAATATTTTATTTTTAGCAATAATTCTTTATAATCAAACCTATAATGACCACACATTTGTGAATTCTATGAAACAGAAAGTCTACATTCACAGAAGGAAGTAATTTCGTCAAAATTTCTTTCTCCAACACTGCTGATTTTTGCTCCATGCAAAGGTACAGAATAATAAGCAAAATTCAACAGGTCTAAAGGCTAATGAAATAAAACTAAAATTTACTGTGAACTTACTATGTTTATAGGCATCATGCAAGCTACTTTATTCATTTCATTAAATCTTCAAAATAAATTATGCAAAAGATATCATTCATCCTCTTCTAATAGATAAAATTCAAGTGTATTACAAAAGCATCACAGTGTATTACAAAAACCAACAACATTCTACCTTATCCAGATTTTTGAGGGTGGATGGGTGGGCCCTCCTAAGCAGTACTCAGGAGGTTCTGGGGTCCCACTGGTGATTCTTGGCCAACTGGGCCTGAGATTTCAAAGTAAGGGTCAGAGATGCATTGCTGCTCAGACCCTGTGATACGGTGTCTGGAATATCCAGAGTACCTGGATGTGCTATGGAACTCCAGAGCCACACCTGGATATGCAGAAAACTCTAGGGCCACAACTGGATGTGCTAGGGAACACTAGGGCCACATCTGGAGATGCTAGTGGGCCTCCTGCGCCCCACCCAGCAATGTCAAGAGGACTGCAGGACTTCACCTGGTAAAGCCTGGGGACCATGTGGTGCTGAGAACTGAACTGGGTCATCTGCATGCTAGCTGTGCATCCTAACCACCATTATTATCTCCTGACCTCCTCACCAGAGTTTTATCCATAATTCTTACTGCAGTGTTTTAAACTCTATTATATTTTGATGTCATGCTAGAAAACAAGAGACTGGGAGCATGCAACTCATAGCAGAGAAGAAAGCACATACTGAATCATCACCTGTCTTTGAAGGACAAGGTGGATACTGTCAGGTAAACTTCTGGACTACCTCTGTGAATTTTCAAAAATTACAGGGGCTTCCTAACTAGAGTGTCATGGATAGGCTGCTCTGGAAACGAGTGAACAGTTTCATTGAAGGAATTAAGCAAAACAACTTACCAGAAAGTCCTCTGGTAAGGTGAGGGGAGGACAGAAGGACTCACTACGAGAAGGCTGGATAAGTTGGCCACAAACAATGGCTGACTATAAACTCTGATTTTACCAAGCTGGGCATTTATAGGTATTAAACAAATATTTATGATGAAATTTTTTTTTCACTTACCGCTATCAAAATAGCTTTGGCCATAGCGTCCTAAACTGAGGGTTTATTTGTTAATTTTAGGACTTACTGTGATTTTTCATCTGTCTCTGGTAATGGGCCTTTCCAAAGTTCAGATTCTGAAGTACTTTCTTCCTCATCTGAGTTTCCTATTTATTTAAAAAGAGATATTTTTAAATGCATTGCATTTAAAAGACATTTTGAACTATTCACCAATGTAGTTAGCTTTGAATTTAACTGCAGCTCAGTTTCAATTTTTATGGCTCTCTTGAAATTTAACTCTACTCACCAGTAAGTTATTTTTAAAAGCTAAATAAATAAGCTGAGATATATTAACGAGTCTCCGCAAAAATGACAAGGATTTAAAATTTCATGGGAAAGTCTCTAAACCAAAGGAGCAATTTCAACATTAACCCTCTCAAGAGTGTTTATGAATATATCTCATATTAAGTTCTCCTTTCTATTATCAAAAGTAAAAAACATAGATTGTTGCAGAGACCAGATGTTCACTATAAAATAACAACAAAAGAAACAACCTAAGTTCTCACCAATTAAGTATAAAAAATTGGTTAAATACTATAAAGGTACCTAAAAGACCTCAGAGTATCATTATATTTATATATTCATAGAAAAATATCCATGCCATATCAAATTATTTTAGTTACAGAAAGTATACATCTGATTTATGTTTGAAATATTGCATATATGGGGCTGGAGCAATAGCACAGCGGGTAGGGCGTTTTGCCTTGCACGCGGCCAACCAGGGTTCAATTCCCAGCATCCCATATGGTCTCCTGAGCACCACTAGGAGTAATTCCTGAGTGCAGAGCCAGGAGTAACCCCTGTGCACTGCCAGGTGTGACCCAAAAACCAAAACACAAAACAAAAACCCTGCATATATATTTGGGTATAGGCGTATGTATATGGGTATCTATACTATACAGCAATTATATATTAATGCTAATTAACATATTCACAAATTACTTTAGGCATGCTATTTCTATAAATAATATTTATGTGTATGTATATGTGTATTATAAGTTTGTAAAGCCCAAACAAACTTAATGGTGGTTATATTATCTGTGAACCTGGGATACTTTAACTTTGCATTCGAAGTTTTCTCAATTTTTGTATTTTAAACATGCATCATCTTTAAAATCAGTAAAAACAATAAAGAAAAACAGTTAAAAATATTTAATCCTCTACTAGTCAAACTAAAATTTATGAAATACTAAAAACTGTACTGTGTAACAGTAACATTTGAAGATACAGAGTAATTATAATAGCAAATAATTCCCCTCCAATCCTGAAATAATCCAAAAAAGAACCGACACAAATTTGGCCTGTCTATACAGAATGTCCCTTAAACATATACAAAAATGAAGCAGCACTGATTTCTCACTGTGGTTCTAAACTTTTACCTGCTGGAATTTGATCCTTGAAACAACTTGTGTGTTTGGTTCTAACTAAATTGATTCTGGCACCAAAATGAAAAAAATAGCAAAAATGGAACAGCATTTCTAGTCTAATTATCTGTAAACAAAGATGATAAAATTATAAAACCTTGGTAACAAGATTTCTAATCAATGACTGCCAGCATTCTAGAATCACCTGTGTCCCAGATAGAATGTGAGAATAAAAATTTATTCATAATTTTATAAAAAGTTACTACCAAGAGAAGAGCATAGAAAAAAATCATAGAAAAAAAATAAAGGCAACCACTACAATATAATCTTGTTATTGTCAGAAACCAAAATATTCAAGATCTTTAAAAGGGGCAGTTAACTTCAAAAGGCATTTCAGAAGGCCTAAAAGTCACTTACTCTCTTGTTACCTCTGAAGTTTTTCCTACATTCCAGTCATTCTACACCAGTTCCATATCAAACAAGCAACTTTTACACAATTTATACGGACATTATAAAAGATTTCTTCTTAAAAGAGAGCACAAAACGAAAAGTAATCAAATATCCTTAGGGAAAAAAATCAAAAAATAAATGATTGTGCTATATGACTTTTCAGGTCCCTTATTATGAATTACTCCTTATAATAATGCTGCATTCTGCCAGTCTAAGAGGGGCACTGCTAAGAATAATGGTAAGAAGAGGCAATAGGAAATGATGCTTTCTCAGAAATTGGTGTCAAAACTGCCCTAATCAATTCCAGAAAACAAAAATAGAATCTGTGAAGTATGTCTAGTATTTTCCTTTTCTCTGACAGAATAGCTATATATTTGTTAAGGGCATACTTTGTGACAGACATGCTTTACAAGTATGTTTCTCATTTAACTGATAGTAAATGAAGTAAGCCTCTTTATTTATAGATGGAACTAATATACATAAAAATAAAATAACAGTGTGGATGCGGGCTGGAGCGATAGCACAGTGGGTAGGGCGTTTGCCTTGCATGCAGCCAACCCAGCCGATCCGAGTTCGATTCCCCCACCCCTCTCGGAGAGCCCAGCAAGCTACCGAGAGTATCTCGCCTGCATGGCAAAGCCTGGCAAGCTACCCATGGCGTATTTGATATGCCAAACACAGTAACAAGTCTCACAATGTTACTGGACCTATTCGAGCAAATTGATGAACAAAGGGAGGACAGTGACACTGACAGTGTGGATGTATACAATTATTTGCCAAAATTAGATTATACGTGAGCATATAGTCAATTTGACCATAACAGTTATTGATATATAATAAAAGATTAGGCTCTGAAATAATAGACCTATATTTAATTTCAGCTCTGTCATTAACTATTCAACTTTAGTCAATTTATCTCAATTCTCTGGTTCTTTTTCTTGTCTGAAAAATGGGATGTTTATATGCCTGCAATCAAAAAACTCCAACTTAAAATGCTTCTTCCTCTCAGAAACAGTCTTTCTTCATGTATTTTGTTTTAATCAAATTGGGGTAAATGATAACTGAGTTTTTTTTTTTTGGTGATGATTGCTATATAATTTAATCTATGTAAATAAACTCAAAATTGAATATTATCCAATCACAAATCACAAATCATCCTGTTATTCGTCGATTGCCTCGGGCAGGCCCCAGTAATCTCTTTCATCCTAGCCCTGAGATTATATTCAAGGCTCTTTAGGAGAATGAGACCCATCATTGTTACTGATATTTGGCATATTGGGTATGCCACAGGGAGTTTGCCAGACTCTGCCGTGTGGGCAGGATAGTTTTGGTAGCCTGCCAGTTTGTCCAAAGTAGGAATGAGATAATAAAATGTCATAATAAGCTTCTGGGAGCTGGTTTTTATAGTCTCTGAGTCTTGGCCGTTGATGGGATTAAATGGCACCAGGGGGCCAGTTGGTGGGTGTGACCCCCGCCTACTGGAATTTGGAGGATCTGGGTGGAGGATGCTCGGCCCCAATCCGAGTAGGCTTGGAGATCTCGGCCCCGGAACCCACATGGCTTTGTCCCTCTGCCAGTACCTTCATGTGTGCGGAGAGTGGTCTCAGCATGGTGGTGGCTGGTCCTGGAGGTCTTCGGCTGCCGGAGCCCTGGTCGGGGCGGGGAGGAAAGCTCAACCCGCTCCCCTCCAAAGGGCCCCGGCGAGGACAGCCAAAAGACAGAAAAAGCAAGATTTGAGGTCTGATGCTGTCAAGACCATGTAGGCCAGATTATGACCCAGAACTATGGTTTGGGCATACGATATTAAGGTAAACTGAGTTTTCTAGATATGGTAAATGGCTTTCTGGTTGCAAATGGGACAGTATGTCATTCTGAGGTGGGTTATTTGTTTCTTCAACACACAAAGCTAGAAGTTCTTTAAAGGGACACCTACTTTCCCTTTCCCGACCTAGCTGAGGAGAGGGCAAGAATCGCAGGCTCTTTCTGGGAGAAGGAGAGGATCCAGAGAGCTGGGGAGGAAAACAGTGGGCGAGGAAGAGAAAATAGAGCAATAGACACAAGTCAAGTTCTTTCCCTAAAAGATTTTTCAATAATGAGAAATTGGAATTGGAATAGGGAAATTTTTTCCCAACATTAAGCTGACATCATTGGTTGATCCACACTTCTCATAGTAATGTCTGCTGGAAATGGGAAAAAACTAAACTTTCCATTTTAACTCTATAAAGTCACTTCTACCAGTCTCAGTCTGGCTATATTCTATAAACTATCTTTACACTTCAAATTTAGTAGAAACTGGTAAGAGTCACATAAAAACAAAGTGTCAGTGCTTAAAACATTTCAACTATGAGGACTACAGAGTTGGTATGGGGAATATTATATTTCTAGACTACTAATTTTTCCTAATTAGCAACTTTATTTTCCAAAAATGTGTGCGTGCATGTGAATCAAACACACAAACACACACCTTTAAAAACTGAGAGGTGGGGAGTGGAATTCTTTTTTTTCTCTTTGTTTTCTGAGCCATACCCAGTGGTGTTTAGGAGACCATGTGTTGCCAGAGATCACACCCAGACCTCTGCCATGCGAAAGATGCACTTCAGCCCTTTGAACTACTTCCCTGCCTTGTTATTCCCCAATTCTCATTCTCGGGTTTATAAACTTCCAAGTAAGCCAAGTCTTAAATTTCTAAGTTTTATATAAGAATCAATATTATAATATGAATTAGACATGACAATGAATTATACTTTGTGAGCTCTTAAGTCTATTGAAAGGTTTTTAAGAAATGACAAACTGTTTTTGTTATCTACAGCCTGTCTATGTATACAAATGTATACGCCCCCCGCCGCCCCCATCCTGCCTTTGTTTGGGGGGAGTGGAGGGTTCAGACCATACTCTGTGGTGCTCAGGGCTTACCCCTGGCTCTGTGCTCAGGGATCACTCCTGACAGAGCTCAGGGGACCATATGGGGTGCTGGGGATCAAATCAAGTCAGCCCACAGCAAGTGCCCTACCCACTGAACTGTCTCTCCAGCCCCATGAACACCGCTTTTATGAAATCACAGGAAAGTCTGTTTTCAATATTTTGTGTGGAAAAAACTGGCAGACTATAAGTTCCCTTTACTGTGTGGGTACAATTAATCATTTTACTGGTGGTTTCTTTATTTTGGTTTGGTTGTTAGGAAGAACAATGACAGTTGTAACACAACTATATAAAACTTTTGGGTACTATTTAGAGCAAAAAAATTTTTTTGTTTTTGGGCTATGCCTGACGAAGCTTCAGGGGTTACTCCTGGATCTACACTCGGAATCCCTCAGAGCTTGGGGGACTACACGGGATGCTGGGGATTGAACCTAGATCGGCTGCTTGCAAGGCTAGTGCCCTGCTTGCTATACTATCTCTTCGGCCAATATTTGTAGTAATTTTACTGCCAGCCTTACTTTGCTATCCTGTATTGCCTACCTATCCTTCTGATTTCACCTTTAAAACTGTATTTATTAAAAAGCTTTTTAAATTTAAAATAAGAAATTTGTAAGTGTTCTAAATTGGGTAAGAAATAATACCCTTTAAGTTTATTTTCTATGATATTCTGACACTGTGAAAGAAAGCAAAAATAATTTACAAAAATAATTTACATCAAACCAAGATACAATCCATGATGATTCAAACTGAAAATAACCGAACTTATTTTTATTAAATTGAACCTATATATTTTTATGAAACCCACATACGCTTGACAGGGCACTTACCATTTACAGAACTTTCTGGTTCCTTTGAGGATGAATGTCCTAAAAGCAAACAGCATTGCTTTGTTAATAATTTTATGACAGTATAGCTATGACCAAAATCTTCCCAAGAGTCTAAAGATTATGGTTTTATAGACATACTCACCATCTTCTCATCTGATATATTCCTTAGACTTATTTACTCTAATTAAAATCTTAAATTATTTTATGAAGAATCATATTTTGTGCTCTAATGTGATCAAGATTAATACTTAAAAGTTTAAAAAGAATAAACCTGGGAAAAAAATCTCACATTAAAAAAAAAGCCCCACTTTTAACTAATATTTGAAATCAATTTAGAAATAAGCTTTTTTTTTTCTTTTTTGGTATTTGGGTAATGCCCGGCAGTACTCAGAGCTGGTTTTATGTTCAGGGATCATTCCTGATGGGGTTGGAGGACCATCTCGAATGCTAGGGATTGTGCATGGCAAATATCCTATCCAGTGCACTATCATTCTGGCCCTAAATCTTTTTTCCAATAATACTTTTTCAAAGATCATAGATGAAAATTCACTCAGTGATTATCAATCGCACGCACATTTATGCTATTAAACAGAAAAATCTTAAGCTCTATAAATATTATCTGGTAAAGAAAATGGGAGTTAAAAGCAGTACAGATCTAGACAGATCTAGTTAAGTAATTTTTAAGAAATTCATCAGTTTCTGAAGTAAACATCAAAGGAAGGTGGTAAAATTAAAAAGTACAAATAACATACAAAATTTTCTATCTGTCCTTGATAGAAAGAGTTATAAGCCAAAGTTGTCCCATGAAGGGTGCCTTTAAACACAGATAAAAAAGGGAAGAGAGCCACCTCGGAGCTTTTTGGAAAGCCAGGAATGAGCCGGCAGTGACGGGGCAACTGCAACCTCACGGGAAGGGGGGCATTACCGGCTCGTCCTTCACACCCTACTGAGGTCACGAGTTGCCCCCCATGAGCAGCTCTCCAGCACGGCCATGGCTCCAGAGCCACAGAAACCAATCTCGTAATTATCTGGCTCTTGGCAGAAATACCTCCAGGTTTAATAAGTAAAATATCAGAAATCCAAAATCTTGCGGCCGTAATAGCGGCCACATGACATCATATGGTTCTTATAACCAGTTATAGAAAACAAATTATTTCACAATGCCTTTTCAGCAGTTTCTGATTGTTGGGTGCAAACTCTAAACAATAATGGTGGATCTTTTATTGAAATAATGAATGTAATCAAAGTCGATAAAAGTAGCTAGAGAGTTAAGTAGAAATCATCTGCCTCACAGGCACGGGGGGAGGGGGGGGTGCGTTGTGGAAGACTTAAACCTGAAAGCTTTGTAACTTTTCCCACAGTGATTCAATTAAAAAAAAAAAGGGAAGAGAACTACAGGGAAAATCTCCAAAGAAATAGTTGAGGCTTGGATAGCAGCAACTGTTTTATGCTTCTGTTTTTTCACTCCCCTGTGTTTCTAAGTCATCAGAGAGCAAATAACAATACAGCCAAGGGGTGGGATGTAAACTTGCCTTTCATATGCGAGGTCTTGGGTTTGATCCCTAACACCACAAAAAAAAGTCAACAACAACAAAACATAGCTAATCCTATGATGGCAAAAGGAATGTGTTCTCTGCCATTTGTGACTGCTACAGAAAGGATCCCTGGGGAGCTGGACAGATAGTGCAGTGGCCAGGGTGCTTGCCTTATAAGTGATCAACTCAGGTTCGAACCCTGCCAGCAGCCCATACAGTCCTCCAAGCCTGCTAGAAATGACCTGTGAATGCAGAGCCAGGAGTAAGCCTTGAGTACTGCCAGGTGTGATCCAAAAACAAAAGAGAAAAAGAAAAAAGCATCTTTGAGAAAGTTTGCTTTACACCTAAATGAGGTAGAATGTGGAGAGAGGAAGTAACTTCCAGCCAACCCCCCCAAGGAAAAAGTATTAGGTCTTCTAGAAAGAGGAAAATGCTGTGGGTGGAGTGTCAAAGTAAAGTGGAGTGGTGAAAAGCGCCTTATATGTGAGATCATATAAGCCTTCGGTTTTCTCCAGGATTTTGATGATCTTAAGAACATCAGGAAATTGATACTTTAGCAGTGTAAGGGAGGAAAGAACAGATGACAGAACAGTGGGTGCAACCAAGAAGTACACAGCAGCTGAAGAGTGAGAAAAGAGTAATCTGAACAGGAGAAGAGAGAATTAAGAAATAGATAATTAAGGGACTAAAACTGTAAGGCTTGCTGACAAATTAAGCAGAACTAAAACTTGAGGAAAATTTACTTTTTAAAGAAAAAAAAGTCTGCAAAGATTAACACAGCTTATAATCTTCATAGCTGGAACAAGAGAGCCCTCTCCTGTCCAAACGTTTTGTTAGCACTGGCCTGAATCGAATTCAACCAAAACAGTGGCTCTACTTTCTCGGACTGAAACTGCAGCTAGCAGTAACGGCCATAATAATTGTTATGTAATAAGCACTGCAGAAACTTACTTGAATTATTTCATTTTAACTTCTGAATAACCAATGAGATTACTATGAAGTAGTGTTTTCACAACAATTTTATGTATGAAGAAATAAATTTCCTACTTTAAGGATTTTGAGAAAAAAGTAAGAGGTTGTTGACTGATGGATATGAATTTTAAAATTATTTACTAAGCATATATGCAGAGTCATGATGTACCACTCTCTACCATTTCAAGAAGCTCATAAGCTAGTGAAAAAATGAAATCAAGATGGCTGAAATCATTGCATTTATAATTTTATACTAACTTGTAGACCATATACTTAATAAAGATCAAAATAACGTTCACATTCTTATTAGGTAAAGGTAAAGGCCCTCCCGTTGATCATCGATTTGCTCGAGCGGGCCCAGTAACGTCTCCGTTGGAGATTTTGTTGTTACTGTGTCTGGATTAGATTTTCCATAATAAACCCACATAGCACAGACATGAGGAAAGTAAAATTCAAAAAGTTCAGTACTGACCAAAGATAGTAGGTCTCTAACCGTATCAGGAACTGGAGTACTTTGCAGCATATGTCATATGCCCCAAAAATCGAATCAAAAACTAAACTTGCCCTTAAAACTTACTGAAATAGTATGTTTAAATTTTGTTAGTTTCTTTTAGATTACCATGATACACAATTTTAGTGCATTCGATTCTACATGAAACATTATTACTGGAAGATTATCTTTCATGATCATAAATGCAGATATTGTATCTTTTTGTTGTTGTTTTTAAGCCAAACCTCAAAAACCAAAAAAGGGCCTGGAGTAGTGACAGCATAGCGGGTAGGGTGTTTGCCTTGCACGCAGCTGACCCGGGTTTGATTCCCAGCATCTCATATGGTCCCCTGAGCACCGCCAGGAGTAATTCCTGAGCGCATGAGCCAGGAGTAACCCCTGTGCATCGCCGGGTGTGACCCAAAAAGCCAAAAAAAAAAAAAATTAAAAAAATTATATCCGTCAGGTAACCTCTCACTTTTTCCTCGGCAATTCTTAATTCTCTGTGCTTATTCTTTCCTCTGCACTCAGGGATCATCCTGGCAAGGCTAGGGGGAACATACGGGGTGCTAGGGATTGAACTCAGTTTAGCCATGTAAAGGGCAAAAGTCCTACTATCTCTTCAGCCCCTAGATATTATATCTAAGTCCCCTTTACCTTTATCCTTCTTCTTGGAGTGCTCTTCTGTAGAAGATAATCTGGATTTTTTATGTGATGATTCTTCACCACGTTTTTTGGTTTTATCTTTTCTTTTCTTTGACTTAACTTCTTTTCTCCTTTTGTTGAACAACATAAAAATTCAAGTTAAACTTTTTGCAAAACTAAGTATCAATGGGCAAAAAATCCCAAATCAATTTTCAAGTACTTTTGTTTTTTATTTGCTTTTTGGGTCACACCTGGCAATGCACAGGGGTTACTCCTGGCTCTGCACTCAGGAATTACTCCTGGCGGTGCTCAGGGGACCATATGGGATGCTGGGAATCGAACCTGGGTAAGCCGAGTGTAGGGCAAATGCCCTACCTGCTGTGCTACTGCTCCAGCCCCAATTTTAAAGTATTTTTAAATATGTAATTTATATAGAAAGAAACTCTTGAGATAGTCTGTAAATATTTTAGGTTAGTATATTAAGACAACTCTCTAAGATTTTGAAGCTTGGAACACTTTGAAACAAAGAATGATTTTTACAAACTCTGTATACAAACCTTAGTAAATCTACATCATGGTTTTACTATTTCCCTCCTTCCTATTTATATTCTATCAACTAACCATTATAAGACAATTACAAAAATAAGTCTCGTTTTCTTCTAAGTAATTCATGAACAACTATACTTTAGAAAAGCACACAGAAGTTGTTAAAACCTCTGCAATAATTCTAAGCATTGGTAAATAAGAAAATTCTCTAAAGAATAAAGGCACACTGTAAAGGTACGATTGCATGGGGATAGAGAGCTTATTGTTAGATTCTGTGTCCACTTTAAATCATTCATCCTTTTGTCACTGTTTATTTATTTTTTTTTACATTAGTTTTACAAGGTTATCTGTAGCATGGCTGTAAGCAAATTATTTTAACTGGTCAAAGAATATTAAATAGAAAAAGGTGCTAATTATGGAGTTGCAAGGAGGACAAAGAGACAATGGAGAGGATTATTTCCAAGACATTTGCTTTATCAGACCTTCTAAACACTATTTAAAACACGAACCACTTTTGTCTCTTTTGATCAAAACCATACAAATTTTTTTAATGAAGCTACAGTAAAGAGCCAAAGCAAACAATTCTCTGGTATCTTTCGGTATTACTGAGAAAGATATTATACGTTTAAGCCATTTAAATAGTCTAAAACAGTCTTCTAATTTTAAGGTTGAACTAATTATCAATAATATTTGTTTCACTGTGTGCTATGTAGAGCACATTTATAACAAGGTTAACTTTTAAATGAATATACTGACATTCTATAAAGTTTTAGAATCTCACAAAAGACTTTCAACTGTTAGCCAGGCCATGAAACCTGACCACAACTATAGCAGGTCAGATTTTGTCTAAAGTGAGTTAATACCAGTGACTCCACTAAGCCTGGCTTACCATATGCCAGGGATTTGAGATGCAATTTAATTTAATCCCCACAATAAACTTAATATCCTCATGCGCAGAGATGATAAAATCAAATTACAGAGAGATTAAGTAGCTTGCCTAAGAAGAGGACTAGTAAATGATAAACTGGGAGAACAACTGGAGTCTGATTTAAAAACTCACAATATCACAAACTCACATATACTAAACATTATAGAATACTGGACTTCTTCCCGAATCACTACACTGATCCATTCTAATTCACTCATCCAAAAGGAACCTGATTTCGTTTTGTTTTGTTTTGGGGCCACATCCAGAGCTGCTCAAGCTTACTCTTGGCTCTGTACTCAGGAATCACTCTGAGAAGTGCTCCGGGAATCAGAGGGGACAGAAGCCTGGTAGACTACATGCAAAGCAAGCACCCTACTCTCCATATTATTTCTCCAGCCCCAAGGGAACCTGATTTTAACACGCAATAATTGTAGATCCAGCTATACAATCCATTAAAAACACAAAAATCATCAGTGACAACAGTTTTGGCCTATCAAAATCACTTTATAGAGGACTGGAGAGATAGTACCGCATGTAGGGTGCTTGCTTTGCATGTGGCCAACCTGGGTTAGATTCCCGGCATCCCATATGGTCCCCTGAGCCAGGAGGATTGATTCCTGATTGCAGAGCCAGGAGCAATCCTTGAGTATCACTGGGTGAGGCGCCACCCCAAAAGGAAAAACAAAACAAAATAACTTAATGAAGATTTGCCTTAAAACAAAACCTGAAAGTATATTATGATATGTGAACAATAGCCCCAAACTAAAAATTATAGCATCTATCTGCTGCCTTGCACAAGCTTCACATTTGGAATTACTAGCTAGAGCAAGACAGAGTATACTTCTCTATATTAGGTCAAAGAGCAATGCCTGATAATTAAATCAACTAATTAATAATAATCAGAAATAAGACATCAACTGAGTTAACATTTAGTGCAGGTAAATGACTTAAATGACTTATGTCCAAGCTAAACACATTTTAAAAGAGTTACCTGTGATGAAAATTTAATTTATGGGAACATTCTTGGCATAATCCTATCAAAAAAAAAAATAGAGTAATAGCACTGAATTGCTGAATTTTAACATCAATACTGCTAAATACCATAAATTCAATTTTACATTCTTATGTTTCTATTTCTTTACTATAATTGAAAAAAAACAATCTGATTACATCTCCATTTCAAAATCATTGGCTTATGGAGAAATAGCACCTAAGGTGCATGACTTGAACACAGCCAACCCATTTTACCCACCACTATCACAAATGATTTCCTGAGTACCATCAGGAGTGATCCCTGAGTATAGAGGCAGAAGTAACTCCTGAGTACCATTAAGTGTGGCCCAAACTCCCCACAGTACTACCACCAGAAACAAACAAGACGCTTATATATTTTTAAAAAATACCAAAATGGAGAGCCCGGCAAGCTACCGAGAGTATTCGATATGCCAAACACAGTAAAAACAAAGTCTCCAATGGAGACGTTAATGGGCCCGCTCGAGCAAATCGACGATCAACGGGAGGGCCTTTACCTTTACCTTTACCAAAATGCTTAAGGAATTGAAAATATTCTAACATTACTTTGGAAAACTGTGAAGTCATTTGAAAGCAAACTGTGTTTGTTTCATGGGCAACATCAACATCTGTCTGATATGTCAAAGATGCAAATAATAATGTCGAATAGTTATTTCCCTGAAGTATTATAAGTTTTCAAATGAAAAGCTTTTCAAATATTTCCATCTTTTTTCTCTTTTGCCCTTATCTTAGTTCATAATAATTTGATTTCTTATGAGCTCTCCCAGGAGGAAATTAAAAATCAGAATACTGTTATTATGTGTTCAGCCAAAGTATAACAAGCTTTGCATGTTGAAACTCCCACTTCGATCCTTGGTACTGAGCACCGACAGGAGGGTCCCCAGAGCACCTGGCTGGGAGCAGTTCCCCTACTCACAACACGGTGTAGCCCCAATATCAAAAATGAGCAAAAAAAGTGCATGTGGGCTCTGGAAAGATGAGAGAGCATTTAATTAAGACCCAGATAAGGCTATCATGATGGAGAAAATAAGCTGACACATAAAAATGAGCTTAAAAAAATAAAAGAAAGGGAAAAAAGTGACAGACAATAAAGCATGCATATTAAGAGAAATTGCTATGGCCTAGGTTATAATCCTAAACTTTTAAGACTGAAATGGAGAACAATTATGCACTCCAAAAATTTGTCTTTACTGACACAAAGAGAGTGTATTTATTTATTAACCACACCAAAACAATATGTCTTTACCTAATGTGAGATTTTATACCAGTTCTTCCTGATACTCTGAATCTCAAACATGTAATTTGGTGACACTCTCAAGTTAATGGGAAGAGAAATTATCAGCTTACATTCAGCATTAGAATTGCTTCACTTAGATAAAACTTAAATACTGGGAATGCAAAAATCTGAGACTCCATAGTTCTCTGAAACTTTGGGACATCTTGAAGAAAAAAAAGCACTTCCAGAAAGATACAGTAAAATTTTTGAACATTAATTAAAAATTAGCTTATGTAATTTTTAATCTAAACTATTACATATACTTGGCAATCTATCATCACAACTAAAATCAACTTACTTAATTTAACGAGTGCATTTCTCTTTTCACCTTGCTCAATATAACCAAAATTAACTTCCCAACTCTTCAAGCCTTCTTTTTTATCACAACTTTTATTTCCACAGAAAAACTGACCTGCAAAAAAGAAAGAAATATTAACTATGATAGTCTGTAAGAGCTTTTGCCAATAAGATCCATATTAACTCTGAAATTTATTCAAGATAAATATTTATTTCTATGAAGTCAGTGCTAAAAGACAACTTGACTACAATAACTACAGCATGCTCTACAAAAGTGTATACAAATGACAAATCAAAAACCTGAAAACATGTCCAAGAAAAAGTCGGACTTTTTGCTCATAAAAAAGTATTAAATTTAGTTAAAGCATTTTAATGATTTCCTATTCGGGATCCTGGCACTTTGAAAACTGAGAGTAACTCAAAGAATACATACATTTTCCAAAATATATGCACTTCCATCTAGGTTAATCCTTTTCAATATTTTATAGAAAAGTTGATTAAAATTAACATTTTAATTAACAAATAAACATCTAAAGCAGTTTAAAATGTTAGTACTGGAACATGATATAGAATAAGTCATAAAGTCCAATGATCTAAAATCTAAATCTCTTGACACAAAATTAATACATATCTATGCCCATTGTATATTAAAGTCAGTTGCAAAACAGAATTGATGATTTCAGAGGGAAAAAAAGCTACTCAACAATTATTAACTTTGACAACAAAAAAACAAACAAAAAACCCCCAAACATCAAAAGCTCCCAAGAAATCACAGCAATAAACCTTCTCTATACTTCCCAATTAATTATTTAGTTATTTGAATTTAGAAAATATCTGTCAAAGTTTTTATAGCAGCACTATTTATATATCATTCAATGAAAGCATGAAACTTTTTAATTAGAATAGACACTTTAGGATTTCTCATTGTCTTTATGTAAAAACCCAAATTCTCCTCCCATCCATATACATACTAAAATGTAATCCTAAAAAAGTTAAAAAGAACCGTGACTTTATTTTCCCTTTTCCTCTAAAGTACTTCAGGAACAATCCTTTACTATCTACAATTTGTTTTATTGCATATCTAACTTCATACCAGTTATAAACTTATCCAGTATTTAATAATTTTTCAAGGTACCCTTTAATTTTCAGTTGCAAATTTAAACTTCTAAATGTTACTATTCAGTTGTAAGCAGTATTAACACTTGAAAATACAATTATTTGATGAAAGGTTGATTTTGTGCAATAGCCTGGCAAGCTCCCCATGGCGTATTCGATATGCCAAAACAGTAACAAGTTTCACTATGGAGACGTTACTGGTGCCCATTCAAGTAAATCGATGAACAATGGTTACCAAAATTTTGGTCATTTGTTGCAGGCCCAATCTCAATGACTCTTCAAAATAAGAATTCGCCTGTTCTAAATATATTTTAGGTTCAAGAGGTTCATTTAGTTTTTATTTTCAAAATGTAGATTTGACTGAATACAGTAATGCCAACTTGTTTTCCAAAAATAAAGGTAAAGAATCAAGTACTCATTTAATTAAAAGTTCTGTTGCTACAAAATCTTTACTGCTTTAAACACTTTCTACATATTCTCCATTGTATGCACTAATGCAAAAATTCAAGTCTTTGAAACATTTTCTTTTTTTCCTTTGCTACTCAGGAATATACCTTTAACTTTGTTCTGTGAATAATTTTTCACTGTATACATTAGGAATGATTTTAACTAATGACTTTAGGTCAACAACATAAACAATGACATCCTATTAAAAAGGGAAAAAATAAACAGATTACCTTTTCCTGAAATTACTTCTTTTTCTATTCGCCACCTAAATCCAAACTGATAAGGAAAAATGTTATGCCCTCCAAATTAACCACTACATTTAAGTACAATGTAAACCCAAACATGGAGCAAACATTTATCATACTAAAAAAAGTACAACTCCTATCATGATAGCTTCTTCTCCACTTACAGAATTCAAAGTACTTAAAAAAAATTGTTCACAGTACTTTGAACAATTACCAACTGATCTTTTAAGGAAGAATCTTCTATATTTATAATCTTAAAAGTTATAATGTCTGAAGATAAAGTTGGCAAAACCCTCCATGACATTGAAGCTAATGGTATCTTCAAAGATGCCACGCCACTGGCCGAGCAAGTGAAAACAGAGATAGATAAATGGGACTATCTTAAACTAAGAAGCTTCTGCACCTCCAAAGAAACAGTGACCAAAATACAAAGACAGTCTACAGAATGGGAAAGGATATTCACCGAATACACATCTGACAAGGGGTTGATATCCAGGATATACAAAATACTGGTTAAACTCCACAAGAAGAAAACATCCAACCCCATCCAAAAACGGGGCAATGAAATGAACAGAAACTTTCTCAAAGAAGAAATCCGAATGGAAAAAAAGCACATGAGAAAATGCTCTACATCATTAATCATCAGGGAGATGCAGATCAAAACCACAATGAGATACCATCTCACACCTCAGAGACTGGCCCACATTCAAAAGAACAAAAGCAACCGATGCTGGCGTGGATGTGGCGAGAAAGGGACACTCCTTCACTGTTGGTGGGAATGTCCACTGGTTCAGCCCTTCTGGACAACAGTATGGATGATTCTCAAAAAATTAGAAATTGAGCTCCCATTTGACCCAGCAATACCACTCCTGGGAATATATCCCAGAGAGGCAAAAATGTATAGTCGAAGTGACATCTGCACTTGTTTGTTCATTGCAGCACTCTTTACAATAGCCAGAAACTGGAAGAAACCTGAATGCCCAAGAACAGATGACTGGTTAAAGAAACTTTGGTACATCTACACAATGGAGTACTATGTAGCTGTTAGAAAAGATGAAGTCATGAAATTTACATACAAGTGGTACAATATGGAAAGTATCATGCTAAGCGAAATGAGTCAGAAAGAGAGGGATAGACATAGAAAGATTGCATTCATCTGGGGGATATAAAGTAACAAAATATGAGATTAATACCCAAGAATAGCTGAGATCAGCACCAGGAGGATTACTCCATAACTTAGAGGCCAGCCGGGTATCCTAGAGGAAAGGGCAGTTCAGATAGAGAAGGGAGCACCAAATAAAGGATGTTTGGAGGATCCTCCCAGGAGGGGAGATGCATGTCGAAAGTAGACTATGGACTGAACATGTTTGCCACTCAATGCCTCTTTTGCAGACCACAACACCCAAAAGGAGAGAGAGAACACAGGGGATTGCCCTGCCACAGAGACGGGGGGATGGGGGGTGGGGGTGGGAGGGATATTATCCATGGTGGTGGAAGATGGGCACTGGTGGAGGGATGGGTATCTGATCATTGTATAATTGAAACCAAAGCACAAAAAATTGTAAATTTACAACTGTAAAAAAAAAAATAAAATAAAATAAAGGGAAAAAAAAGTTATAATGTCAGGCAAAAAGATATCTGATTAAAAAAATATACACGCTTCTCTGTGACATGGAATAAAAGACAAGAGGTACAACAGATTAAATAGAATAAAAAGAGAACTGCTGGAGAGTCAGATGGTTTGCATTTACAGCTTAGCTCTGTCATTTGACTACTGTGTAAAGTTGACCAGATAGTTCTCAGCTTTTTTGTGTCTATTTCCTCACATAAAAAGAAAAAATAGTACAAAAAATTTATTTTTATGAGTAAAGAGATTCAAATGGGACAATATAGATATGTAAAGCACTTACAATACCTCATACACAATACATGGGGGTTAGCTAGCCATTGCTTGCTGCCTATTTTTATGAATAAAGTTCTACCAGAACACAATTACAGGCATTCATGTACGGCTCTTTCCCGCTACAAAGGCAGACTTCGTAGCTGTAATAGAGATCCTATGGCCAACAAAGCCTACCTGAATGTTTGCCAACTCATGTATAATAAATACTCTTATTCATTAGCTGACACTATTACAGATCTCTCGGGTTCACCAGAGGATACAATCAGCTTTCTCCCATACACAAGATAACATAAAATTTAAAAGGAAGAGACCACAGCCCTGATCACATCCATCTACGCTGGGAAGTCTCTTACTAAACTAAATACCAGCATAACTCGGTCTTTACTCATCAGCAAAACGTGGACCAAGACAACAGGCAAGGGCGATAGGACCAGTCAGGAATCCTGAACTAGAAAGTCATAAAAGTTCCATAGTACTAAATAAAACTTTATTTTTTGGCCTAAAATGATTTTTCTGGGGATGGAGCTACAGCACAACAGATAAGGAGCTTGTCAGCAACCTACAAGATCCCCTATGCACTGTCAGGAGTGATCCCTGAGCACAACACCAGGAGTAAGCCCTAAGTACTGCCAGGTGTGGCCCCCAAATCAAAAATAGTAATAACAATTAAAATTATTTTTCTTCAATAACTTCTAAGATTTTTCATTCATATGATTACATTCCGCAGCGAGCAGGATAATTTCAGAAAATGGCTTAGTTTTCTATTCAGGTTAGAAAAGGTTAAAGGTCATCTCTAGAATGATGCAGACACAAAACAAGTTCTACTATTTATTAACTACTTCTGTTGACCTTGGCAACATTACTTCTATTTATTTCCTTTTCAACAAAATGAGGATAGCAATAACCTTTATTCATAGGTATTGTACCAGGAAAGATAATTCAAAGTGTTCATTTTCTGGTTAATTGATTTTCACAAATCATCTACTAACTGAACTAGGGAATTTTCTATTATAAATGCAAATAAGGACTAAAAATATTTTTTTTTTGCTTTCTTTTTTTTTTTCCCTTTATTTTATTTTATTTTTTTTAAAGTTGTAGATTTACAATTTTTTGTGCTTTGGTTTCAATTATACAATGATCAGACACCCATCCCTCCACCAGTGCCCATCTTCCACCACCATGGACAATATCCCTCCCACCCCCATCCCCCCATCCCCCCTGTCTCTGTGGCAGGGCAATCCCCTGTGTTCTCTCTCTCCTTTTGGGTGTTGTGGTCTGCAAAAGAGGCATTGAGTGGCAAACATGTTCAGTCCATAGTCTACTTTCGACATGCATCTCCCCTCCTGGGAGGATCCTCCAAACATCCTTTATTTGGTGCTCCCTTCTCTATCTGAACTGCCCTTTCCTCTAGGATACCCGGCTGGCCTCTAAGTTATGGAGTAATCCTCCTGGTGCTGATCTCAGCTATTCTTGGGTATTAATCTCATACTTTGTTACTTTATATCCCCCAGATGAATGCAATCTTTCTATGTCTATCCCTCTCTTTCTGACTCATTTCGCTTAGCATGATACTTTCCATATTGTACCACTTGTATGTAAATTTCATGACTTCATCTTTTCTAAGAGCTACATAGTACTCCATTGTGTAGATGTACCAAAGTTTCTTTAACCAGGACTAAAAATATTTTGAAATATTCTGATTAAATTTACCCAAGGCTAGGGAAAATTGAAATCTTAACTGCTAACTTCTAGTTTTTGGGAGTGTGCTTGGGGGACCATGTGGTATGGTGCTAAGGATCAAAGTAGGATCAGATGCATCCAAGACATGCGTTTTAACCCTATTTACTGCCTCTTTTTTCAAGCCTATGTATGTATGCACGTAAGTACTGCATGCCATCGAACATGGTTAGGATGTCTATTGAAGCATGCGCAAATACATACAGCAATAGTTTCCAAATTTTTAAAATATATTCATCAAAAACATTATTTTCCACTTTCTCCAATATCACAAAAACAGAGTGTCAGAAAAGTCACTACCTTTTCTCACAAAAAAGGTCTTCCTGACATGTAGGGGGAAGAGGGTGTATGAGAAATCTCCGTTTAATTTTGCTAAAGCTGGCCTAAAATTATTTCTTGAATAAAAAAATCCATCTCCATAGTTCAAACTTCCCTAGTAGCCATATTGAAATAAAACAAAACAAAAAACACCAAAAAACCCATTAAACACATCAAATTTTCTATCTGTACTTATTCTCATATCGAGTAATCATGTTCAAATAGGGAAATATGCTTATTTTAAGCTTTCCCTCAACTATGGTTTCTATTAATAATATTGTTTAACTTGATAGAATACAAATATTTAATTATTTTTATATACTTTCTCATTTCAAGTAGACAATAATTTTCTTTTGGGGCGACACATACGTTTTTGTATGTGTATATAGTATATATACATATATATGTTATATATTACACAGCAGACATACAGTACCCGGCCAGCACTCAAAAATGAAAAACAATCAACAGACAAACCAGTCTGAGAGAACTGCTCTGTTATATGCTTCTGAAATAGATATTTCACACTCAACTTGCAACATAAGTAACTTCGAGTAATGTCCACTGCAGTCAGGTAATTTTTTGAATTTGATAAGGTCAGTAACTAATAGAGATAAGCACTAGTTTAAAAGAAATTGAGGATGTTTTTGAAAAACACCAAGTGCTTTCAACAGGACTATAAAAATGAGTATTATTATCTATGAGAGTACAGTGAAGCAAGCTACAAATCAAAGGTACTCATAAAAAAAGAACCTAATCATTACTTTGAGATATAACTAAATTAAAAAAGAAATATTGCCATAAAATAAATCCTAAGATTATATGTGACATACAGTATAATAAAAATTAACAGTATACTTGAATTACAACCTTCTTTTACACATATTTTGAAGGCATACCTTATTTTCTTTGTATCTACTGAGATCTGCTATGCAGTATTCTTTGAATAATTTATCATAGTATTTCTTTGCAAGCCTCTTCTCCCTAGACCCATTAAAAATAATAAATCTCACACATTTAGAAATTCAACCATAGTGTACTTGAAAGCAAAGCCAAATGGTATAAATATTAACGTTTTTTAAATGCCAAGTACTTATATGTACAAAGAATATCTGAATATGAATATTTATAAACTCTTTATAGTGGTTCTCTTAAGGGGCACAAAAGGACCGACAGAGAAGGGGCTATTTATCCTTAACTTTCTACCCTTTATTATGCTTAAGTCTTTTAAACCATTATCAGTCGTAACTTTTTCCAAAATACCTTAAAAATTTTTAAGGAAGATCATAATCGGCATACTACATACCAACATACAATTTAATAAAAATATTATGAACTATTTTCCAAAGACAAAGTCAAAGAATGTTAAAACTACAGATACTGGGGGCAGAAAGATAGTACGGCAGGTAAGGTGCTTGCCTTGATGCACCAGGTTTGATCCTTCGCCCCACATATGGTCCCCTAAGCATCACAAGGAATGATTGCTGAAACAAGGGCAAGGAACAAGCCCTGAACACCGCTAATTGTGCCCCACCAAAAAAAAAACAAAAATGAAAAAAAACTCTACAGAAAATTATCAAATGAACCAGATTCATTAATTCAAGGAATGATTTTTGTCGGGCTGGAGCGACAGCACAGCGGGTAGGGTGTTTGCCTTGCACGCCGCCAACCCGGCAGACCCGAGTTCGATTCCTCTACCTCTCTCGAAGAGCCCGGCAAGATACCCATAACGTATTCGATAAGCCAAACACAGTAACAACAAAGTCTCACATTGGAGACGTTATGGGGCCCGCTCAAAAAAACCGATGAATAATGGGGGGACAGTGACAGTGACAGTGATTTTTGTCTAAGATTTAGAACTGTGCAAGAATCTTGCACAAGAACCTTGCCCTGGATAGGAGAAAAACTAAGATCTGACCCCTTACGTCTCTGATGGCCAAAATTACCAATTCATATCCACTTCATCCTCCTCATTCCATAGAAACCTATGATTTTCTCGTATAACGTCCATATCAGTCTTATCATTTTCCCTGGAAAATAAAATGATTTCAACTTAATATAAAATTACTAAAATTTAGGATGTTAAGCAGTTCTGTGAGATTTTTAAACACCTAAATAAAAAATATCTAAAAATTTTTAAAAATTACGTATGTATATATGGTGATCTATTTATAAAACCATACCACTACTCAACGGCTGCTTCCACAGAAACATGGATCAGGAATTAATCCATTTCTAGTACTAGTTCCAATTTACAAATGGTGCAAAATTAATGAAGCTAAGATAAGAAAGCTGAATAAGCATCAAATAGATAAGGAAAGTGAATGAAAATGTTTAAGGATCTAATAAAAATGTTTCATCATTTTACTGAGATCTAACTTTTAAAACACACGACTATTCCATATCTCATATTTCAATAAAGCTCCCTAAGAAAATTGAGTGAGGTCAGAAAATAGGTTTAAGGGGATAACTTTTCAAGATGCTATCAGTTCGGGAAAAGGACAAAGTACTTTTGAGAAGAGAGGTGAAGTTGAGGTAGATGACACTGTAGTAATGTTTAAGCATCTACCAATACAAAAAAAAAATATTAAGTCCAAAAGAACAGAACAAACAAATCAACACAAAACCAAAAAATTGTGATATATGGGAAATATGAAAGTAAGGTTGCTTATCTGCCTTTCCTTTTAAAAAGCAATCCCAAACACAAAGGTGTAAAAAGTTCACTATGTCAAATATCCTTGCAAGAAAATAATTACCCGCTAATCATACAGTAAGTGCATGCCTCGCATACCCTGTTATTGCCAAGGATATATCTAGCGCAGCAGATGAAGTTATCTGAGACCTCTTGCCAAGGAAAATGGGATTTATGCTAGACGTTATGAATGGCCTCTGCAACTTACAACATAACAAGGGAGCTGGAATGGAAATGAGGGGAGTGTGGCAGAATCCAAAGATTTAGCAGTTGTGGATTCTTAAGGATGCTGATATCAATGCCCCATTCTATGTAAGTTTTATGATGCTTACCCTAATCTCTTGAAGTCGTCTTTTTTGCCGCCATAGTATAAAATATAGTCATTTACAAATTTTGTATGTCTCTGATACTAAAATGCACAAAATTAAGGAATTTACTCACTAGAATTTGTTCTGTCAACATTGAGTAAAAAAATTATAATATTTATCAATATGCAAATATGTACTATACACAATTACACATTCAATATCTAGAAGAATAAACATTAAATTGTAAGAGTAAAGATTATGGCGCTAGAGAGATAGGGATTTTGGGTTCTTGCCCTGTAAGCAGCCAACCCTGGTTCAATCCCCAGCACTGCAAAAGGTCCTCTGAATAGCACCAGACTTGACACTTGAGCACAGTCAGCAGTAAACCCTAAATACTGGGTATGGCCCAAACTATCCCAATCCCCAAATAAGAGTAACTTGGTAAACCTTCTACTGCTTACTGTCTTAAACATTTTTCAAGCATAAATTACTCCAGTGATAAAATATGTGTACACCTGAGGAGAAAAAGAGCTTCCTAATTCCATTATTGAATTGCATACCAACTCTCACCACTGCTCACTTTAAACACCACAACATGGAAAACAAGTAAGTTTCTAAAATTAAAGGTAAGAAGTGGATTTATCTTTTATAAATCTATTTCAGCCATTCTAGTGGTCATAAAGCCACTAAGAAGATACCAAGTTTATAATATAAATCCTGAGAACAGGTTTTCCCCAAAAAAGTATGTATAAAAAATTAGATGTTACCTTTTATACTTGCTTTTAATATTCAAACAATTTTCAACGCATTCTAACAAGATATAGAAGCATTTAACTTTTGCAATAAAAATTACAGTGGTTCTCTCTAGAGTTGGATATGCATGTAACAGCTAATTTCATCTTTAATACTGTCTGTGACACCATATTTTATTAAAGATAGTGATTTAACTGAGAAGATGTTTGAGGAGAATATTCAATCAGAATACACAGTTCTAAACTGGCAACACAGTTTGTAAACAAAGCAAGATAATAGGCAATGCCTTGTGTAAACGAACAGACACTGACAATAGAACTGCAGGAACTAAAGCAGGGAGGGAACAGATAAGAAGGGTCCTGGGGTGCAGGATACGGCAGGGCACGGTAAGGTAGCACTGTACCTTTAAGGTTTACCAGCACTTACACTCTAGCGAACAAATTTTACCTCAAAAATAATCAAATTATGAATTAAAGGAAAAAGAAGTTTACAAAGACGCTGAATATTCAACCTAAGGGAGGAAGAGAATAAGAGTTGAAACAAGACTGAAAATAAAGAGAAGCGTAAAAATGAGAAACATGCATTTGGCAAAAACAGGTTGGGAAAAACAATTCTAAATTAACAGATTCTATGAATGTATTTATAGAATATTAGTTATAATCAGGCTCTAAATAATTTCTATATATTAGCAAAGGGATAGCACAATGGGTAGGGTGTTTACCTTGCACGTGGCCGACCCGGGTTCAATTCCTCCCTCTCGGAGAGCCCAGCAAGCTACTGAGAGCATCCTGCCCGCACAGCAAAGCCTGGCAAGCCACCCGTGATGTGTTCAATATGCCAAAAACAAGTCTCACAATAGAGACCCTACTGGTGCCCGCTCGAGCAAATCGATGAACAACGGGAGGACAGTGCTACAGTGCTATATTAGCAAAAGATAACTGTACTCAAAAAATATAAATGGCAAAATTCCACAACAATAAATATTTCTTAAAATTAAAAAAGGTCTATGTGACCTTATGAAATGACCACATGACTTTTTGAAGGAAAAAAATAGATTATGAAACACTCTATCAGTTATAAAAATCTAGACACAAAAAGGATACAGCATCCATAGCTATGAGATGAAATCTTCTATTTCTTGCTTCTTCCCTGTTAAAGAAATTTTTATTTTAAGCAAGTTCAAATTTAGGATTTTCTCACACACACCCTTCCCTTCCACAGTGTAATGAATATAATCAAACCCCAAAGTTCCTGAGATAACAGAAACATCTTTAACCAAAATGATTTATACTGACATAACATACCTGTCCAGCAGTTCTGCTGCAACTTGTTTATGGGCCACTTTTCCATGTTTTTCTTTCTGAAATGGCTTTTTGAGCAGTAAATCATCTTCCACAGTCCTGGTTTATTAAGAATAAAAATTATTAAAAGAGTTCACTTCGCCTAAACGGGCATATCTATGTCTTTAAATCTTATAACTAGAACATATTTGAAGGATTTGAGTCTCAAAATTCATGAATTTTTTTTTTTTTTTTTTTTTGCTTTTTGAGAGCCCGGCAAGCTACCGAGAGTATTCGATATGCCAGACACAGTAACAACAAAGTCTCCAATGGAGACGTTACTGGGCCCGCTCGAGCAAATCGACGATCAACGGGAGGGCCTTTACCTTTACCTTTTTGGGTCACACCCGGCGATGCTCAGGGGTTACTCCTGGCTCATGCACTCAGGAATTACTCCTGGCGGTGCTCGGGGGACCATATGGGATGCTGGGAATCGAACCCGGGTCGGCCATGTAGGCTGCGTGCAAGGCAAACGCCCTACCTGCTGTGCTATCGCTCCAGCCCCAAAATTCATGAATCTTTAATGAGACGCTAGATGCACTTAAATAAATTAGTAACAATTTTCTATAAAATGGGGATGAAACTACAAAAATCTGAGTTTTGGTGTCAAATCACCTAGGATCTATATTTCCAATTCTGGGCCTGTTTACAATCTTAATCCAACTAGGCCCTCCCGTTGATCATCGATTTGCTCGAGCAGGCCCAGTAAAGTCTCCATTGGAGACTTTGTTGTTACTGTGTCTGGCATATTGAATACGTCACAGGGAGCTTGCCAGGCTCTGCCGCATGGGCGAGATACTCTCGGTAGCTTGCCGGGCTCTCCGAGAGGGGCAGAGGAATCGAACTCGGGTCGACCATGTTGGCTGCGTGCCAGGCGAACGCCCTATCCGCTGTGCTATCGCTCCAGCTATGGGGGGTAAAGGATCTATTTACAGATAATATAGACTGTAGATGAACAATCTGAGTTACTCAGATATAACTCTTGAGGAGAGTATTCAACTAGATTTACTCAAAATCTGGTTAATAGCAGTCAACCACTTCTGGGTTAATGAATGAAATAAAGTTTCTAAATACTAAAGATTAAGAACTTTGTTCCTAACCATAGATATGGCAATGAGTTGTAGCCCTCCTTATAAGGCCCAGATTAAATCTGCTGAAAATGATCTTTCAATTTAAGAAAATCATTCATGAACTCCTTCTTTTGATCACTTAAGAGTCTACTCATTCACATAACTATAAAAATTGTCCTGGCTCCCAATTTCATCCCCCCCTCCCCTGCCAACTAAATCATTATGAAGTTAAATAGTAGCAAAGAAACCAACAATCTGGTCCCTATTTAGCTATAATATTCACAAATTAAAAGTTCTTATTTGTTGGATAAAAACTGGAAATCTAAGAGCTTTAATTGCATTTATTTTTTTCTGCTACCCTTTCCATTCCTTCATAACATAAATATGTTATTTTTTTACACAACTATTCTCAAAGTTCCGAGTCAATTCATCATCGTTTAATAGACACATTCATAATGAGTATAATGGTCCTCACATGAAAACACAATTTTACAATGTTTGTATTCCAGCTCAATCTAGAAGGGATCAGAAACACAGATGAGTAAGTAATTACCTTTTTCTCTTTTTGCCAGATTCTCCACAATGTTCATCATCACTGAAGTCAGAGTCGTAGCCTCCATGACCATGCATCTGGCAGGAGCAAAAAAGTCAGCAACAAAGAAACTTCAATTGCCAACAGTCGGGGAAATGAAATAGCCCCCCAAATAAGTTCTAATTCACAACAAATTTTAAAAGTCATGGGCATATTGTTGTTGAGTGATTGAGCCGTCCACAACTTCCATTCACATAGAAATAACTGACTTGAATTGCAGAATGAGTCACGTCCACATTAATTCCCATCAAGACCAACAAAGGGGACCTTGATCTTTCCACTGAAAGCAAGGTCTCTAGGTGGTAACCCAGGCCTAGAAAGTTCAACAGTTCACTTAACATGGTTGCTGTGTATTTATTATCAACGATGCTCCAGATACTGTAATGGGCCATTCTTTATACTTTTAATTCTATACAGTTAGGGACTATTATCTCCAATTTACAGATTAAGAAATCAAGGACAACTGAAGTGAAATTTATCAATTATACAGAGCCAGTAAGTGGTTTGACTGATCCACTTTGTTTTCATGGCCATGATTGCAATTATTTCAAACCATCTCCTCAGAATATGGGAGCTGGAGAGGTAGTACAGGGGGTATCTGCCTCGCATGCAGCAGCAGACCTTGGTTCAATTCCTGCTTCCCCGAACACTGTAGAGTGTTAACTTTTTTTCTGATTAGCTATTCTCCACTACTTTCTATATTCGTATACTACCAAATGATCGAAACCTTCCTGTTACCTTTTCCAACAAAACTTTCCTCTTTCTTTGTCTTGTAAACATATGTTCTTCAAGGCACACACCCTTGTCTTTTCTTTGTTTTGATCTACTTTATCTTGTTTCAGTTTATTTTTTTAATTAAAATTCTTAGAAATTCTGAAAGATCTCAATTCCCCCCAGTCCTGTTGGAACCAGTGCCTGGCATGCTGGTTTGATCCTGACATCCCATATGGTCCCCCAAGCACTGCCAGGAGCAATTCCTGAGCACCACTAGGTGTGGCCCAAAAGCAAAAAAAAAAAAAAAAACAAAAAAAGTTGGGACATACATTACTGCAGTGTAATGGATGATCTACCCGCTATTTCACACTCGATTTTTGAATGGGCATTTCATAAATAACATATGGCTAAAAGAACTATTCTGACATGATCAATCAATCATCAGAAAACTTAAATACGTGCTTGCAACCAGAGCAGACTTAAAATCCGTATTTTGAAACTGTAACATTTGTTTTTAAACTTTAATATTCACTGTAGCGAAAGAGAAGGGAACACCAAATAGAGGGTGTTGGGAGGATCCGCCCACGATGGGAGAGCATGCTGAGGGTAGACTGTCCACCAAGCATGTTGCCACTCAATGCCTCTTTTGCAGACCATGGCACTCAAAAGGAGAGAGAGGGAAATGCCCTGCCACAGAGGCAGGGTGGGATGGGGGCTGGGGGGGGGAGGAGATGCTGGGATCCGAGGTGGTGGGAAATGCGCACTGGTGGAGGGATGGGTGTTTGATCATTGTATAACTGAAACCCAAGCACAAAAATATGTAGGTCTACAACTGTACCTCATGGTCTCTCACTATTAAAAAATAAATAAATAAAATACAAAATAAAAATTATTAGAAATACAAAAAAAAATATTCACTGTAGCAAATACAGCAGGAGGTGCGGAAGGGGCTCCCTCAACTTCACTGCCCCGAAGCCAGCAAGGAGTAGTTTCTAGTCCGGGCAACCTGGACCGGCGAAGTAACCGACTGAAACAAAGTGGCTTCGAGTTTCATCCTCGATTCTTGAGTCTTTCCGTAATTCCGTCCAACCGAGGGTAGGGGGGCGGCTGCCTTTCTTCTCTCCCCGTCCAACTAGAACCCACCCCAACCCAGGCAGGCGGCGGAGCCTACACCAGTTACAGCCCCGTTCTCGCGCATCGCCCACCCCCACCTCCCCCCAACACCTGGACCTCGCCCCCCGCCAGCTCTGCCCCTGGCTTCAGGTCCGCTACCAAGGCCCGATTCGGGCCCAATCCGACCAGCCCCTTCACATGCTGGCGGGGAGGGAGCAACTACCGTGCGGGGCCTGGAGACCCCTGGGGGATCAGCCTACCAGAAGTCAATAATCCTCGGGGGCACGTTCAGCTTCTCCAGCAGCCCGGGGGGGGGGGGAGGGGGGGGCTCGGGGCTGGGAACATTCAACGAGCCACTCCGCGGGCCTTTGAAACGGCCTCAAACGCCGCGAAGCCCCCGCAAGGGTCCCGGAGTGAGCACATCCCTCGGGGCCCCACCGCGCCGCCCCCCCAGGCTCCCCAAGCCCACTTCTTCCCCGGGGGCGGGGGGCGGGGGGTTCACTCCCCCGTCCCCCATTCCTAACTCAAGGCAGTGGTGGAACTCAGAAGCTCCCACTCACTTCGGGCTACGAAGTCAACAACTACTACGAGCGCCGGGCGACGCCGGGGTCTGCAGAATCTGCCTCCCGGGAGCGGAGCAAGGATCGAGCCGCGCCGGGCCCTGCTCACCCACCCCTTCCCCAGCTCCCACTTCGGCCAGGCTCGGCCCCGGGGGTCGCCGTTTCCTCCCGCCGCGCGGCTGCAGCGACCACCGCGGCCGGAGCGAGACGCTGCAGGGCCCGCCCGCTCCACGCCTCCAATACGGGTCCCCGCTGGAACCTGCTTCCGGTCCGGCTGGGCTGCGTGCCACACCGAAATACCACCGTCCCGGAAGTGCCGGGCTTTGCGCTACAAGCGTAACATCTCCCCCCGGAAACAAAGGCGACAGAAGCATAGGGCCGGAAGGGGAAGCAGTGGCGCTCTGCTTTCTCCAACCGGCCCCCCAGTTTTTTCCTGTCTCCCCCCTTCCTTTCCCTCTCCGGAGCCCAGCATTTAATGCCATGTAGCATTGCCCGCACTGAGCTCAAGCCTCTCGTGTGAAAGGATGCTTTAATTGGGGGCGGGGGGGTAAGCCTGTCTGAATATCACTGCCGTCCTCTTTCTAGTAACCTTAGTAACGCCTCCTCCTCGAGCATCCCAGCAGAGCCGCTCAAGCTCAGAGCTGCCTGCCTCCCCCTATAAAAACAGTTCTCATAATTAGAACAAAAATAACTTTCCATCGTTTCACCACCCACACAATAGATAGCGTTCCAAATGCAGTGCCGGTGGCAGAGATGCTGCCGAATTTGTGAGGACAAGAAGATTAGGGCTCGGGGGAGATTTCAAAGCGGTTCAGATTCCATTCAAGCTGCCTGTCTCATGGAGATGGGATCCAGAAACAGGTCTTTAAAATTAATACAAAACGATGATAAGACACCCGCAAAGTAACAATTACCAATGATAATCATCATAGCCAAACATCCTTTAAATATAGTACCAATAAAACGTCCTGGCAGGTAATGCTAAATTGTTGGAAGATCCTTCAGGGTCTCTTTTCTACATCATGAAAACCCCATTCTACTTTGTAGCTTAGTTACTGGGTTCTTGTCTCCTCGCCATTCATACATCTATCTTGCTTCTCCTCAACATCACAAAAAATCACAAATCATCCTGTTATTCGTCAATTGCCTCGAGCAGGCCCCAGTAACGTCTCTTTCATCCTAGCCCTGAACATCCTAGCCTCCTCAACATGGTGCCTGAAAAATCACAAATGCTAATTATTTTTGAACTGTGCTGGTTGTCTCTGACTTACAGCGAATTTATTTTTTTAAAAAACCTCGTCACTTGATACATAATCATTTCTTTACATCTTTTTCACTAAACAGTAGGTGACAATATCCAAATTGGTGCAGGGTTCCTTCCGGCCCTGACAGTGGACCATAGATACATCCTGCTTCACCAATACACTAAGTGACATTTCAAGACCCAGGGCTGCTGTATTGGTAGGCCCATTTGCACATAAGTGGCACAAGCACAAAGCCACAAAGCTGGTGAGGGTGTAGACTGGAATCGACTTGTCTCTCTATATGAGACACATCCCCCCCTTCCCTTCCTTTTCCCTTTTCTCCTTTTTATCTTTATTTTTAACTCATCAGTGATGTGGGAAGTAGCTCCTGGGTCTAACATGTTAAGAATCTCATATGTGGTGGCCAGAGAAACAGCTCAATGGGTGTGGGCACATCCTTTTAAAATAGGAAACTCCGATTTTATCTCTCTCTGGCATCACCTTTTGTCCCCTGAGCACTGACCAGGCAAGGCATGACTTCTGAGCCTCTCTGAATGTGGTCTAGAAAACAGAATAAAAACAAACAAATAAAAAAACAAACAAAAAAATCTTAGATCTGTTATTGTTATTACTGGACCATTTGACTATGGATTTGCATTTTTCATAGCTGCTTCAGTTTTTGAAAGGGGTAAAATAGAAGACATGTTAGGGATATATTAGATGATCTGAACTAAATACAGGATAAAAAAAAGTTATATGATCAGAAAAATCTCAAGTTAGTAATCATAGCTCAACAATATTTCTTTTAATGTATATAACATTTCTGGATACTCTCTAGTCAGGACTTTTAAAATGCACAATACCTATCCCTATTCTTAAGGTTGACTAGTATGAAGGAAAGAATATTTAGAATAAAAACTGTATTATATAAAATGAGAAACTCCTCATAAATTGCATGAATCTTTGATTCTAATATGTTTAATGTGTTATTCAATGGATATAAAAATGTAAATGTGGTCAAATACTAGGATGGGTAGGTGGTGAGGTAAGGAAAGTTGTTAATGTTGTTGCTAATAATAACAAGGACATTTGTAATATAAGCTATGAGCCTTATTCTGCTAACATATCATCGTGAAGATTACATTTTCCAAAAATGGTCACATCAATATAGCTCATTGATTAAAAGATAAACTAAAGTATATCAAAATTTTAAAGAATTTTTTTGATACAGCCGAAGAGAAGGGCCACATGGAGGGTGGGATCCACAGCTCCCGGAGGGGAAAAAAAAAAGAATTTGTTTGAACATTATACAATTGTACAGATAGAAAGGATCTCTAAGGAACTGTACCAAATGATAGACTTTTATAGCAAGAAGGCAGCAGTAACAAGAAAATTATATATAAAAAAAGACTGATTATTGCATAGTGACTTTTTTTTTTAAAAAAAGAGATAGCAGGGGTCTATCTGCAGTTTACCTAGGGCTGATCAGTTGATTCCTGATTGGCTGGTTTAAGATTATAGTTCTGGAAAAGCTGAAAATATTGGTATTATGTCTTAGTTTGAAAATATGGGGATTAGCAGCAAAAGTCACTCCATGTTATGCTTGAGATCTTGTTTTTAAAGACATTTTGATTTGACTGCATAGCTCTTTCTAGCCTTGCATCTATACATGCCAATGACTACAGCAGAAATGACAATAAATTACTTCTGAGGCTACATTGCAAAAGATAATATAGCCTATTCCTGATTCACTTTGTCTCTCTGTATCCTCTGTGAAATGGAATAGAGCTGAGATGAGCCACATCCTGACCACAGACCAATGAACAAAATAAATGTTGGTTCAAATCACTAGGTTTTAGAGTTATGGATCATATCACAATTAGGTAACTGGAACAATATGCTATCTCACTTAAGTCCACAACATTTGATGAGGTGTTTCCTCTGCTGGGATCTGTCTGTTTCCTCAACATGCACACGTCTTTACATTTACCTTCTCCTTCTTCCTCCCAATGGTTCTCCTGACTCTTTGCTTGCCTAACTTTTGCTTATCCTTCAAAATTCAGCTTAAGAAAAAAAATCCTTTAATTATCACTCTATCTCATTAAGTTAAGTAAGATTACCTGTCACATGCCCCCATTCCTTTCTACTAACAGGATTACTTAGTTACTGATGGGGTTCGAGACTTATTATGCCAGAAAGTGACACTTTGGATTATTGGATTTTCTGCGTGGAAGGGATTTGAGAAATGGCAGGTGCCAGAGTGACTACCCTTTCCCATCTCTCTTGAAGCAAGTCATTAAGATCCCCATGTGAATTGTAGCTTTCCTATACTCAAAGAGGAAAAATCATTTTGTTAAGAGATGGAAATTTTCAGAGAGGAATCAAAATAAACAGTAATCCTGCCCCCTCAGCTTATTACTCTTAATGACAAATTTTCTATTTTTTAAGAACTTTCTATTCCTGATAAATCTAGAATAAAATGTTTAAACACTTATTTATATCCTTATTTCCTGTAAATTAAAAGTTATGGTAGTATATTTCTAATGTTAAAGCTTATAAAACCGCATGCCTTTCTCTTGTAAATCTACCTGTTGTAGGGCTGGAGTGACAGTATAGCAGGTAGGGTTGCCTTGCATGTGGCCAACCCAGATTCTATCCCAGGCATATGGTCCCCCAGCACCACCAGGAGCAATTCCTTAATGCAGAGCCAGGAATAACTCCTCAGTATCACCAGGTGGGAATCAAAAAGCTAAAAAATAAAATAAAAAATCTACCTATTGTGATAGAGCCCCAGCCAAGAACCTAGAAGGAAAAGGGTTTCTTTCCTTGCCTGTAATAGATACGTACATAATAATAATTCAGTGCCTCACTGAGATGTTACCAACACAAGGGCAGGGATCACAAGCTCTATAATTTGATGCTAAATCTCCTAAATTTAGTATAATACTCAAAATATGTATTGAAAAAATGAAGTATATACTGTCATTATTGCCACTTTCAAACAAGGAAACAGTCTTCTAGAAATTAAATAACACTCAGGAGTCATAAACAAGTAAACTGAATTCTAGAAATCATTGACTCCAAAGTTCATGCTATTGATCACCGTACACTTTGTGGATGGTGCTTTTGATTTTTAGAAATAGTATAAACTATTTTTGTGGAGAAAAGTTAGCAAAAAGGTTGAGACACAGGGGTTGCTTAGGGGTTGGAAAGGTCATGTGGAAGATGTGGGAATTAAACTGTAATTTAACTTTAAATCTTAAGGCTATGATTAATGTCAAAGAAAGGATCTAGGGGAGAGGGCACTCCGGGCAAAAGAGTCTTAGTAAAATACTAGTGATAGAAATATCCAAGGTTGTTTAGGAAAAATATGAGCAGAATGCTTTGGTTTTAGCAGACTTTTTTAAATAATAATTTTTTGGAAAAGGCTGAAAGGGTAGGTTAGGGATAGACTTGGGGCAATCTTAAATGCCAGGCTGTTGAGTTCGGTCTAGAGATAGTGAGAATGGAAAAGAATTGAGGAGCAGCATAGGACACACATCAAAGTCAGTCAGATCTGCATTCAAGTCAAATTTCTGTCATTAAGGATCTGGAGATCTTGGGCAAGTTATTAAATTCTCTGAGCCTTAATTTTCTCATTGATCAAATGGAGACAATAATAGCACAAATCTCTTAGGGGCTTGATGAGGTTTAAATGAAATGTTGCAGCTAAAATGTTTGGCATGATGTCTAGTTCATAGTAATAAGTAGGTATTAAATACTACTTGAGAAAGCCTCAGATTAAAGGAATTCTCTCTTGAGAATAAGTTTGGTAATTAATGGCTTCTTGAATACAGTACAGAAACAGATCTTCACAATATG